GGAGGATGTGGATGTGTATCATTGATCACTCATAGGTCTGTGCAGTCCTGGAGGGTCAGGGAAAAGGTATATTTTAATTTACTTCTATGGAGTTTATTTCTCTGCTGAATTCTACATTGCTTTCTTTGTAGCAATGGCAGCCCAAATGTAGAGTTTCCATTCCCCTCCCTCTTGGTGCAGCACCATCCTTGTTCAAGGTCTTCATTCTCAGGGACCTGTTTGGGTGCCTGGCCATGGACTGAGCTGGATGAAGTAACAAACGTGATAGAAAAGTAAGTTCTCATCCCTCTCAGATGCATCAGGACTCTCTTGTTTTCCCAACAACCCCATGCATTCCTGAGCTGTCAGAGTATATGGTTGGAAAGGCACCAGAAGCACTTCTAAATGAGGAAAATGGGAGATTTTGATACCTGCTATCTTTACTACTCTGGTGGAGAGCCCATGTCCTCTGTGTTGCTGGGTAATCATGAATATGTGTTTGGAAAAGAAAAGAAAATAATCTGCTGGAGTCCTGACAAAGATTTTGTCAATCTCATGGGATGTATATTTTGCAGAAGGGAAGCTCAGGTCTTCAGGGCAGGCAACCAATAACAAGTGTTAGATCTGCACATGGACAAAAGTCAAACATAGAGCTGCCATGCTTTTTAATGGAGCAAGATTTCTCCCCTGACTTCCAGTGCTGCTGGACCTGAGCTGCCAAGAGAGAACAGGAGGTCCTGAGGAGATTACCTGAGATTACTTAAAGTGTTGAGCCCAGTGGGACCAAACACTGGCACAGGTTGCCCAGAGAACTGGTGGAGTCTCCATCCTGAGAGAGATGTAAAAGCCACCTGGACACAGCCCTAAGCTGGGTGCTGTTAGGTGACCCTGCTTGAATAGAAGGGTTGGATGAGAGACCTCCAGAGGCCTTTCAATCTCAAACATTCTGTGATACTCATGAATTTTCCCTCCCCAGCCTGTGGCCATGGTTGCACATTCATAAGACTCATGTTCTTTTGTCACAGGTCAGAAGAGGGGACCACTGGCTAGCATAAAAATTTTCAATGTGTTTAAGTAATCTGGAGATTTAAAGTTATAATTGTGATTCCATATAATGTACAGCTTCATATAGTAAAACCTCTTTAGTTTTTCAGTTTGGTTTAGAATATATTGATCCATTTTGTTCCCATTATATGTTGCCATTGGATAATAATGGCTTGGTTTAATGTGTGATGTTATTTTTTTAGGAAATTGTCTTCACTGTGAAAAGCTGATGTGACATTACGGTGAGGCAAAACCTGCTTTGTCCAGCTTGACATTTTAGGTCTGGCTGTTTTCTGTATTGGCTGACGTGTATGGAGGGATAGGAAATGAATTAATCTTGGTTTTGAGTGTAGATGCATTGGAAAAGCACTGTTGATTTATGCCATGCATTCAGATAGGTTTTGCAGTGTTCTGTTGAAATTTCAAGACTTTTAGGAGAGAGTGAAATAGGATTATTTGTCTGTAAAGATAGCTACATTATGTTATTTTTTTCCCAGTTCCCTGCTACTGATCTGCTCAACTGCCAGGTGCAAGCAGCCACTGATGTCTGATAGTTAATAAGCATTTGCTAATTTGCTAATCAGCTGCTGCAGAATGCAGCTAGGGCCAGATACAGCAGTGACAGCATAGCAGCAGCTGATCAGGGGTCTTGGAGGTAACTGGTTTTCTCCTGGGAGGGGAACAGAAAGAGAGCTGGTTAGCTGCCTGATGGTAGCTGTGATCTGAGACACTGATTATCTGTGGTTAACAGTGGTGACTTTCTAGTTCCAGCATAAATGGAGTGAGATAAGTAGAGAACTAAGTAGAGAATTCCATTTAAAGATTTCTGAGCAAGCTGTAGACAATGAACTTGATCAGGTGCAGTGAATACCACTGAGCGGTTTCTGCTTCCCTGCTAGCTTTTGTCTGATGAGAGGAACAGGGCCACTGCTTTGCTATGGTGCTCTCTGCTCCCCATTTCACACCTTGTCTTTGCCTTAAGAAATTCCCAGGCCAGCTGTCTCTGGGCTGCCTGGCATGCAGATGCCCTTTTGCAAAACTGTAAATTCTAACCCACCCAGAGAAGCTCTTTAAGAGATGTTATTAGCTTAGTTAAAGTCAGTTGGACATTCTTTGAACAGAAGTGTTATGTGAGGTTGATGGTCTGTATTCCTGTACTTCTGCTCAGAACTTGAAATTCATCTCTGCCCGTGCACGCATGGTTTGTTTTCAAATGCTTGCAAATGAATATTTTATTAGGTAGCTGTGGCCAATTGCTGCAGGATGGCCTTTGAGAAGCTGTGTGGCCAAGCGGCGTTAGCTGTGTTGGCAGAGCCCTCTGCTGGGAGCACAGCCTGTGCCAGCAGCAGTCAGTCCTGCAGCCAATGCCACCCGCTTCTCCCAAACGCCATCAGCCTCTCGGCCCTGTGGTATCCCACCTGCTGTCTGCTCCAGTGGCCAAGGGGTTCCTCTTCATCCCACAGAGCCTGTGGAGCTCTCTTGACCTTTTTATTATTATTTTTCTTAAACAAACCGGGTGGTGTGCTGTAAGTGCTTATATGATTTTAGGTTTTGATTTGCAAAATACAGTGGCTCTTTGAGAGTAATAAAGTTAGCCAATTACAAAATAATGTTTTCCTAATCCTAATTAGTGTGGGAGAACCATGAAGAATTTCAAAAATTTCATGTGTGGATTCCAACCCTGTCTGTAAATATATTTTTTAAAAAAATGCTTCTTAGTAAAACTTACTCATCTAATTGGGCATACAGGGGGACATTCCTATATCAAGAGCCACAGCTTTCCTTTTTCATTGGACAGTAATGCTTCTGCTATTCCAAGTCTTAGAGGAAACAGCTTTTGTGTGATAAAATACCAACTTACTGAGCACAAAGGAAAAATGTTATTACTCTTCTCTAACCTAGTATGTTCAAAAGCCTTGTTAGGACTACTAGATGCATTGCCAAACCAGAATGTGCAAAGAGGTATTTTAATCCAGTTAGGTCTCTAAAGTGTTGATGTAATACAGGCCAATAATTCTACTGCAGGAAATCCAGCTGTTTGAGATTGTTGCACAAACAATGCAGTAGTAATAAAGGGTCTTTTTTCCTTCTTCGCGTGCTGGCCAGAGCTTTTCACTTACCATTGATTTGAAACACTCACAACTGTGCCCAGTATTTTATCATCATTAAAGTAAAAAAAGAGGAACGTGTACCATGGCTTAGAAAAGGCTGTTGCCTGTGGTGGACAGGCCCTCTTTCTGATGAAGCTGGAGAGTAGTAGCAAGTCAAAGGTAGTCATATTTCTGTGTCATTTGATTTGTCTCATGATGAAGCTTTCCTTAACATAGACATGCATTCTTTCAAAAGCTACATTAACTTTCCTGGCCTATATCTGAAATAACCAGTTTCACCTTTTTTTTGAACTTACTTGCTCCATTGCTGGGAGTAACACGGAGCAGCTCTGTTAGGAGACCCATCATGTGAGTGGCATGATGGAACTCCTTGCTGCAGGTTGTTGTTTATTCCCAAAGCTGAATATTATTCAGAAAGCAATTAAACACACTTGTGAAAGGTAAAATCACCAGTATAAGATGTAGATACTGCTTTTGAAAATTCCCCATCTGCATCCAAGGGAATGGGCAGGGAGTGCATGGCTGTGTGCACTCACCCTCCTCCTCCTTACCCTTGTGTGAAGGCAGCATGCTGAAATACAGGGGACTCCTTACGGAAAGGTCTGGTTTTGTTGTGGTTCCTGCCACCCTCTGTTGTTAGCCATGGTGGGGGGAGGACCAAGCTCTTGGTGGTGGAGGGGGAGTCCAACCCTCCTCCTGCACCTTACAGCTGTTCTTTAAAGGATGTTTTCAGATGAACCTTCCATCTTACCTGCCATCTGATCTGGCATTTTCCGTGGCCCAGTGCCTTTCCTCACCTGTAATGAGAGTTTCACTGGAGGCTTATTACAATTACATATAAGAGGCAGCACAAAGGGGTTTTTTTCTTCTTTTGTGACAGCTTCTTCTTCCTGTTTTTCTCACAGCATTGTGGTTAGAGGCTTTAATACTCTGGCAGATGGTATACAGTATGTTTTTCAAACCCTCTACCTTTTGGGTCTAGGATACACACTGTTCTCTGACTGCATAAAGCTGCTAAACAGCTATTTTTTTTCTGATATCTGACTTGAAATTCCATTCCATTTGTATTGCACAATGTCAATGATTCAGCTTAGTAAAATACTGTCTTACTTCCCTAGGTTATCTTGTCCCATGCTTTTTTAAAAATACTAGCATGCAGTTTTAATCCTGTGCTGCAGCAACCCTTGTGAGTTGTCTATTTTAACTCAGGACTTCAAATACAAATGTTGCTTTAACATTACTCGTGGTTATCTCTAATCTCAGAGTCTCATAGCAAAATCTGTTGCAGAGTTCATCCTCTTTTGTCTGTGCTTTTTATTTCAAACGTGTATTTTGTTTGAAAGTGGCTGATGATATAATACCTGGATTTTTAAAAATAATCTGTGCTTTTCTAAAGAACTTGGGGAAGTGTAATGTTACCATTCAAATAGGCAGGTGAGAGCCTTGGAGATCAGTAATTTGTACCTTTTCAAAAGCCGCACTGCCTTGCTTTGTCTTGGAATTTATTATGCTTCCCAAGTATAATGTGACATACTGAATAGGGCAGGGGGTGGGGACATTGTCTTCAGCTGACATGCTGTTATCAGCGGGACTGTGTTTCTGGACACAAGATTTCGCAGTCATTGGTTGTCCGAAGAAAGCCTTTCCATCTGAGGATTGGACAAGAAGATGCGTCAATTTGCTGCCCGTCTCCAAGGTACTGGTGATGCTGCCTCCACAAGCTGGCTAACGTCACAGCTCCATCACCCAGCGGGGTGTGGGCTTTTTTCTCCTCTTCTCTGTTTTAATTCTGTATTTGCTTCCTACTGCATTTCTTAATCTGTCTTCTGCCAAATGCTAACAGCATGATATTTTGCAATCATTTAGGTGAATACAAGAAGGACGAACTCCTGGAAGCTGCTAGGTGAGTGCTGCTTAGAATATAAAACATATTTTGGGGGTGGAAGCAGGCGAGGAAAAGGATTTTTTAAAATAGTACTGTTTTGTCATTGCCTTTCCATGAAATGCTGCAAGCAAACCACTTAATTAGCATAAATCTCTTCAGACTTTAGTCTGGTACAAATGTAAAAGCCTGTTTATGTAATTGAAATCCCCCACTATGGTGGTTATAAGGTTAATATTGAGTTTTGGCTTTAAGCTGCTTAAATCCTCTTTATTGTTTTGTGACTGTTCTTTTTAGGGGCAATTTAAATATTGGAATCTTTCTTTTCTTTTGGTTTTTACTGCTATTGTAGAATGTATTTTGAAAATATGTTTTATCAGAACAGGGCATAAGGAAGCCTATACAAAAGGTGTAAAGTTCAATTGTATATTGCAAAGGTGCTTTTCATCCTTCCATCTGACTGCACAAGACCGTTTTATATGGACTGTTAACCCTTCTAAAAAAATTCTGGGTATTGGTATATAGTTGTTTCAATGTTATGGGCCATATGCTATGAAAATATGTTAAATTCAGAACATTTATTTCGACAAATGGCTTTCAGAGGATCTGTAAAATTAGAAAAAGAAAATACGAGGTTAAGGAGAGAAATTGAGGTGTTTTCATATGATCTTTTGCAACACATTTAATGTAAATGTAGTATTCTTTTTTGTATTTACCCTCGGTTTTGAAATGTTCAGAAGATTCTTTAGCCTTTCACCATTCTCCCTGTCACAGTACAAATTTCAATATACTATACTTTGCAAAATACTTGCTAAGGAGATGGATATCAAAGAGCTCTGCCCTTTTCCCACCCTTTGCATAATATTCTCCTCATTTACAGGAGTGGTAATGAAGAAAAGCTGATGGCTTTATTGACTCCTTTAAATGTGAACTGCCATGCAAGTGATGGGCGTAAGGTAAGTTAATACCTGCTTTATATTTCAATTATTTAAGAAAGGCCAATTTAAGCATACTGGTAAGCACAGATGTATAAACCAAGAGAATGTATGTCGGTGGGGGGGGAGCCTGTGATGGCTTTTCACCATAAAATTAAACGTTGGTATGCTTGACACTGGCAGTTGTGAGAGATTTTGGGCAGACGTGGGTTTTGTGTGTATCTTTTAAATGTCAAACCCTGGTCTACATGTAAATGAAACTTTAAGACCTTTTGTAAGAAAAACAAAATGTACTGTTGCAGATGGATAAAATAACTAGAGAAGAAAGTTATTATTTGTATTTGAACATTGTCTGGGTGAGGTGCTTGGTATTCAGCTTAGCTCCTAATAAACTGCCACGTAGACTGGCACTGTATTGCTATGTTTAACACCTTCTGCATTTCCTTAAATTTGACATTATTGTTTTGACTTTCTCTGGCAGAGATGTTTGAATGAGTTAAATTAAGAATTAGGCTGAAACTGGAGGAGGGAAGAACATACGGAGTGAGAAGTAGATCCTATGATTTTTGATGTTTTAGACTTTGAGATGATAATCTGTCTAGACTGTTGATTTACAAATGTTGGGGTTTTTTTGCTTGATTTGTTGGTTTGTTTTTTTGGTATTTTTAAACTGTGTACTAAAATCTTTTTAATATGTATCTGTTAAAGTGTTTCACCTGTAACAGTACATCTTATTTTTAGAGAGAAAAGCATGGGAGTGTTTTATTTTATAGTTTTTAAAAATTTTTGATGGAGTGTGTTGGAGCATAGTATAAACCTCTGCCCCTCCCGAACCTGTTGTGGAACAGCCCAGTTCCACTGAAATCGGTAAACATAGGCTAGTTTACACTTTTGATTACAACATATGTTGTTACTGAATATAAAAAAAAAATACAGCTCCATTGTACAAAAATTCCTGGTTTTCATACACATTTTTAAATGTTTCTCAATTGTAATGTCTACCATACATACTATGTGATAGAAAACCCAGCCAGTTTTTTGCTTATTTACATTTATCACTGATTGAAAGTTGATGCATCTTCCAGGTTTCGAAAGCAATTGATTTTATGAACTGAGGACAGGCAATTGAACAAGGGCTTTATTTAATTTAGCAGTGTTGAAACTGATAAAACACTCCCCACATTTTAAGATTAAAGATATTGCCCATATTTCTTGAATTTCCTTTTCCTATTTTAAGACTTTGCTGTTCAAGTAAAAGTGTATTTAGGTATTTATAGTGCCCTGTGTTATAATTAAACGGGGTGGTGTATAGCAGTGCATTACTGAATAATTCAGCCCCCATCACTATTGATCTAAGGCCAAATGCAGAGTTATGACTTCTGTCAGCAGGGCAAAGAATGAGCCCTTGCAGAGGTTTTCTTGAACATTTATCACTTCAAAGTAAAAAGAAAAAGAAAAAAATCACAAAGCTTTAAAATTCATATTGAGATAGCAGAAATTGAGATAGCAGCCTCTGAATTAGGTAGAAAATTTATGCCCAAAGCTTGGAAAGCGTATTGCAGTTAAAGCTCCTGTGTGGACACTTTGAAAATATGGTTGGTTGGTTGGTTTTTGATAAGTGCACTGGTTTTTGAAACACCTTTTAAGATACCTTGCCATTGATATTAATTAGCTTTTTCAAAATGATGTCTACCAGATATATTTTTTTCTACCACCACATATGTACAGGAAGGTTGAAAAACCTTCCTCTAAACCTGTGGAAGGTTTACTAATGCTTTGTAGTAAACATGCTATATAACTGTTAAGTATTTAATTTGTTATGCAAAGTGCTCAGGTCCTGTTCTAGTGCAAGATCACTTGAGGTTTGATAATTTTAAGCTGTGCTGCAAATTAAGTGAACTTGTAAAATGGAAGTCTCCACTGGTGTAGCTGCCTATGGTGATTTACACTTGCTGAGGATTTGTCCATTTTGGAAGTTGCTTTTTGCATTCCTTGATGCTTTTAGTAATTATTTTTTGCAGATCTGGGCATTCAAGCCTCAAACTTAGGACAGCATAAGGCCACAGTTTTAATGCAGCTCTCAGGGCCAGGAATGCAGACTCTGCGGATTGGCCCGAGATTCTCAGCATCATGCTTATTCTGCAGTACAGCTGTACCTACGAACTCTTCCTCAGCTGCTTACCTCTTTCTTCAGTCTGTGCACTCCTTATTTTCTGAGATGTCCAGCGCTAGTCTAGTGGTAAGGGAACACTTAGCTATGTGGGTGAAGAAATTGAGTTCCAGTACTGAATGGGTAATTATTTTTTCTGTATTAGGAGATGGTGGTATTTTTTTCCCATACTTTGGGATGCAACTGTATGCATTTTTTTTTTTCTGTGTCCCATGCATACTAATATCTGTGGTTCTGGATTTCTCAAACAGCACATGTGCCATGAAGTTGTGCTTTATAGAATGGGTAAAAGGAGTGGGAAACTCTGACAGTGTCTTGCTGGTTTGAAACCAGCTAAGGTTGGAAATAAAAACGATATATTGCATTCTACGTGCTGTTTGCATCCTTTTTGAAAAGTATTGCAGCCAGAGTCTGATTCCTACTGGACAGGATTCCATGATTCTAAAAAAGTTACATCTGGTGCTGATAACCATTGCTCCATCTGTTTATTTAGGATAGAGGTTAAGACAAATAGGAATGAAAACTTCCTTCTTCCCCTCCAAAGTCACAGTTTAGGTAGGTTATGGTCATTGTAGAAATGTTCATATTGCTGAAGCTTTTGAGCTGTTGTCTGAAGAGGGAATATATTCTGTGTGGCTTCTCTTGCCATTATCTTCTTGAGGGGAAAAAAATTAAGGAGTGTGCAAAACAAAGAGCAATTTTAAACATCAGCTGAAGCGTTCCTGCATACCAAGGATCATGGTAGTTCTTGGGGTTTTGATGACCAAAGAAAATCAGCAATAATATCTCAGGAACTGTGATTTCATTGAGCTAGGTGATGATTGATTTTTGTGCAAATACTGGCTTATGTGCATATTGAGTGTCTGTCAGGGCACAAATAATGAGCTGTATAGTGCAGAGCTATGTGGTACTGTGTAAGCAAATGAGTATTACACAAGGGTAAATTCTATAAAACCTGTTTTTTTAAAACTGTCTTATTTGTTTACTTTTTAAAAAGCAGTGCTTGAGCTGAAATATAATACAGATTTTTCATGGCAATTAGTCCTGCTTCGATGTTGTTTTTTTTTTAACAGGAGACTGGAAATTTACTCAGTTGTTACAATGTGGGTTGTGTGTAAGGCAATATTTACATGTTGCATCATTTCTGTTCACATTGCCTCACCAATATCAGAACAGATCTTAGATACAGTGCACCGCACCTGCATATTGCTATGGGTCTGGGATTTCCCTGCATCCTGCCTGTGAGTTCTGCTGGTCTCCTTGGTCTTTACATTACCTCTAGAGGTAATGACTTCTGGAAGACAAGCCTATGGTGCTGGTGTTAGCAGATGATACTGAATTTCACACTGTTAAGAAGCCAAGGCATCTATATATGTCTATCTATGTAAAGGTACATAGGCTTTAGAGCCCCAGGTATTTTCCCTCAAATATTTTCCTCTGGGGTTGTCTTTTTCAAGACTTAGTTATGAGAGAATTTCCAAAAAATGTTTTGACTATTTTCAATCACTGGCTTCCTCTGCTGGAAATTAATGCTGTATTGCTTCATCATGGAAGCTGGATTTCTGACCTGTTACAACAGTCTCTGCTTACCTGAATCTGTGGCAAGAGTCAGGTTTAAAATTGCACAAATAATGGTTACAGGTTGAGTTGAAGCACTTAGTCCACTTATTTTCTTCAGGAAGCTGATGTGAACATTTGAAAGCTGTTTAAGGAAGAAATTGATGTTGCCTCCATTTTAAGAATGCAGAAGTATCTGAGCTGATAAGAAAAGATTGGTTTCAGCAATTCAGATAAGAACTCTTTTCTACAAGACACTTCCCACATGACTAATCATAGCTTTCCAAAGTGATCTGCATCCAGCTGACATAGTAGCTATTAGCAATAGGAGGTTGGATTTTTGATTGTACATAATATCCTGCTCCTGCACTGCATTATACACGCTCAGATCATGCTGGCACTAAAATTCTCAGGTGCTGGTTGAATAAAACCTTTTCTTATGCAAAGGAACCCAACTCCTCTGGTTAGAAGTTACCCAAAAACCAGTTTGTTGGGTGGTCTTCTCAAGGTGCGTCTCTTGAAGTAGACCAAATAGCCAGTATTTTGAGCTCCTAGGACCATAGAAAGGTGTTTACTGAAAAATAAAATGCTTGCTTTGTACTTCAAAGTAAAGTTTCTATTGCAGCTGTGTTTTGTATTTACATTTTGTATCAACCATATGAAAAACAGGGAATACAATGGCATTACCTATGACAGTGTGATCTCAGGTATTAGGAATTGCTCCCAGAGGGCAGCACAGAATGCAATTTCTCCACAGCTGCATTGTTTTCTGTTCTGCACCTTCCCTCCCTACTTTCTTCCTTAGAAACTAGAAATGTTATTTTTGCAACAGGTGAATCAGGGATCCTGCAAACGACGCACCTCAGTTTTTCCTTGCATGGGAACATCCTGTGCTGTGGATAATGTAGTGATTCCATGGGAAAAAAGACCAGGCAATTAATAAAAATGCCATTTCTATCATGCACATGGTTCTACCTCACTTACTTGCACTGTTGTCTTCTGACTGATAGTGTCCTTTTGTTTATTCCCAATTTTCAATCCTTAAGAGCTCCTAGTACCAGTCTTTGGTATTTTGCTTCTGCAATGCCTTTGTTGTTACACCTTTCCAAACTAGCTGTAGACAACCCTGGATCCAGAATACCAGTAGCAGGCTGGGTCATTAAACTTTGTAAGTCGTAGGAGGCGTACCTCTTGGGTTTGACTGAGGCTGTTGCTTCAGCCTGTTCTTTCCTGCCATAGGGATGTTGGTTTTTCTCATGCGTGGCCTCACTCCGGTTCATTGGCACAGGGTTCA